ATGCATAGAATGGTACATATAGTAAGAAGATATATATATATACACACACACACACACACAGAGAAGGTGGAAGTTGCCATACAAACTGTAAGAGGCTAATTATTTAAGATGAGCTATTATCAGCAGGAGAAAAAGACTTTTGTAGCGATAATCAAGATGGCCCATTTAGACAGTTGACAAGAAGGTGTGAGGATACTTAACATGGGGAAATAGATTCAATATGTGTAATGACTCAGACACTCCCAGTCTCTATTCAAACCCAAGTTAAAGGTATCTAGTTTGCATTGAAACAGCATCACATTCTTGCGATCGTAATAGTCCACCAAACAAAGTTTTATGGTCTTCAGAATTTATGGATCTGTATTTAAAGTAGAGTATCAAGTATCTGTTAATGGATATATCAGTGCTTTCATCAACAGCTAGAGTATGAAACATTGCCGACGCTATTTCATGCATGAGGTAATTTTGGACAATGCAGTTGATGAGTTCAAGAAATTCAAAAGCATAATTTTTACTTCTCCAGCTCACTGGTATTCGCACATACTTTTCCATATGGTCATTAATATCCTGAACAGAAAGCATTGAGCTGTTCATTTTAATAGCCAACAACACACTGTCAATCAGTACCTTGATTTCTTCTGGGTCTGAGCAATCCGCTCTGTAAGGAAGGGTTTTTGTTTCTAAGTCTTGTTACACCATCTATATGAGACTTACTTGACAGATGACGCTTTAAGAAATCCAACTTCCATACATCATTCCACATTCTTCCTGTTGAAAATTCTCCCAAAGCTCTGGCATCTCAACAATATACACAAACCACTCCATTGTCCTCATCATATGTTAATATTTCACAAAGTTTAACAAGCATTACAGTATGTGACTTTGGTGTAACCGTCTCTATAGTCTCATCCAGCCATCCAGATTTAAATGAAGTCGCTTTTCTTTTATGCTTTAGACCTCTAGACAGTGACATTTTGGGATTGATTTTTTACCAGATTGGTTTATTTAAAATTAATACTTTTATTATATGGCTACTATTTCAATGCGCTTAACAGTGTGACTCGACAAAAGAGCAAACTGGAGATCATTCAGATCAGGATACCGGAAGTTTGTGCATAGCTCCGATCACATCCATGGATCTGCGGCAAAAAAATGCAGGAAAATGGTAAAACATCATGAGTTAATGTATAAAGTCCAATGCCTTTGAAAGATTTCAGTCACGAAAACAACACTTACCTCTGTTCATTTCTGGGAAATCTTTGCAGTTCTTTAGCAATTACGGCCAGGCATTTTGACTTACTCGCACGTACTTGAGTTTGTACATAGCCAAATGAACAGACTACAAGAAGAGGTGTGGGTCCCGACCTTCTCGACGTGATCAACATTCCACGTTTGAAATGGTGGCGGGGAGGGGTACGATTCATTGCCCTCCTTTCCCTCCCCCATCTCCAGCTAGTAGAATCTGGCTGTGTTGATAGATGGCGGGCGAATAATGTCAAAAGTAGCCCGTAAATCATATTTCGGCCTGGCTCCGATGTAGTATTTCATTTTTTGTGCACACGGTGTTTCACCATGTGTGCGGGGTTTTGGATCTGTGTGCACGTGCATAGCTTAGAGGGAACAGTGACTCAGACCCACCTCTCTGCAGGGCTGTGACAGCCATTGCTCATAAGCTGTCTTCAGGGTCCACAGGAAGCCACTGCTCTTTCGCAGTCCATTGTCTCTGCTAATGGCCCATTAGCCCTGTCTGGCTTTTCCATTGTTGTACCTGAAGCGCTGATTGGGGTGTCACCCAAAAGTAACACATTTGAAATAGGTTTCAGAGTAACAGCCGTGTTAGTCTGTATTCGCAAAAAGAAAAGGAGTACTTGTGGCACCTTAGAGACTAACCAATTTATTTGAGCATGAGCTTTCGTGAGCTACAGCTCACTTCATCAGATGCATACCGTGGAAAGTCTGCTGCAGTTTCCACGGTATGCATCCGATGAAGTGAGCTGTAGCTCACGAAAGCTCATGCTCAAATAAATTGGTTAGTCTCTAAGGTGCCACAAGTACTCCTTTACATTTGAAATACAGACACATAGCTAATATTACTAACTTCAGATACAGAAATGATACAGGCATACAAATTGGATAATCACATTCAGGAAATCATAACCTTTCCAATGATATCTTACATGAGCCATCTTACATAAAGTACATCTCAGTTATGTCATATTCATATCATAAACATATTTGCATAAGGAATATTGAATGTAATGTCACAAAGCTTAAAGTTTCCATTAAGTTATTTTTTTTAGCATACTATAGTTTTGTTTATTTTTGTGAGTTGTGTCAACTCACTAACGTGCATTCTACATATTGCCCTCTCCCCCATGTGATCATGAGCAGCTGCGGATCCTGGATTCAGCTTTCCCACCTGCAAAATAAAACTCTGTAGTTATTAAAAGGAAAGCTACAAACAAAAACTAAATATTTGTTACTTGCCTCTCAAAACAAATCAGCATAAACTATGCTTAAAGTCTCCACACATTCTGATGGCTACTGCCATTATCCATTGCAAATTTGAGAGTTTGAAAGAAGATCATTAATAATATACACCTGCCCAGTCACTGATATGAATTCCATAGCTGTTGAATGATAGTGGTTAAATGTTAAGAGTCTGGAAAGAGCAGAGCTTCCAATCTCCAGTTCTGATCACTTTGAAAAATGTACAGTATATGTTACTAGATACTTAAACATAGCCCAGGTTTCAGAGTAGCAGCCGTGTTAGTCTGTATTCGCAAAAAGAAAAGGAGTACTTGTGGCACCTTAGAGACTAACCAATTTTTTTTTACCTTTAGTCCTTTTGGTATGATGTCCGTCTGTTTGCATTTGGAAAGGAAGATGATTTCTGTCTGTATCTGTACGAGTTTTTTCATGAAGTTGATAGATTTCCGAATTGGTTAGTCTCTAAGGTGCCACAAGTACTCCTTTTCTTTTTAAACACAGCCGTTGAGGAACCAGCTGATTTTTCCCCTCCCTCAGTCATGTTGTTATAAGAGAGGCTGGTATAAGTCTTTGTTTAGGTTGGGAGCCTTGCAATGTTGTGCCAGTATTGGACGTGATAGTTTTGCTCTTAGAACTGTGGGCTCTGATGGACCATGTAGGTGATTGTATTCAGGTTTGAAGGTGGGTGTCTGCTAAACTGCTCTCCTCATACCTTCTGGCTGATTTCCAGATTGCTGAATGATGGTAGCTCAGCAGTGACCAGTCTTGTCAGTCTGAGATAATACTACAGGGTAGTGACCTCCTATGTGCCTGAGGATTTGGAGGAACACATGTTGCCCCAGAATATAAAATGGTAGCGCTGTTGACCTGTCTTGACAAATAGAAAGCTAACTACACACAACCCAAAAATCCCAATAACTGAAATAAGACTCGAATAAATTTTAAAATCCCTAGATATAATAGTACTCTTTTTAAAAAGTATATATAATATGCAACTGGTTCCTGTTTGTGTGTTCACATTCATGTTACATTTCTCTATTTTTATTGGTATGGAAGCCCTCTGATCTGTTTAACATATATCATATTATGCCTCTGCTTCTAAAATGCTTTTTCCCTTGCACTTCAAACAATAGCATAATAAACAGTCTCTCATTTATACGGAGATGAAGACAATGCCTCCATTTTGGCTTCTGCTGAACATTGATATCAGTATGTTGTATGAAAAATTTTACTTCAGTTTCGTTAAAATCAAGAAGGATGAGAATCGCTGCTTTTTGTGTGTGGTGTTTTTATTTCCCCCCTCCCCTTTATACTAGTCTGAATTCTGTCAAGAAAGCTGAAGTGATGTGTATAGTGCAATCTAAATTCTAGGGGCTTGTCTGAGCAAACACTTAATGCATGGCAAGCTAGGGTGTAAATCTACCTCGCACTAGCCTGCAAGGCACTAAGGGCTTGACTATATTAAAAATGCTAAAGCGGCTATAGCACTTCTGTGTAGACACTACTTACAGTGACAGGAGGGGTTGACCCATCAATGTAGGTAATCCATTTCCCTGAGAGGGTCGATGGAAGATTTCTAACTAAGGCCAGCTTAACTACACTGCTTAAGGGTGTGGATTTTTCACATCCCTGAGCGATGTAGTTATGCCAACCTAATTTTTAGTGTAGAACCACACCTTAGGTTCCTCATGGACCCTGCTGTTGTGCACTAACAGTTCTCTAGTATGTTTTCATCTTTGAAATGGGAGTAGGTCAGTGTGTGCTAAGGAACATTTAGTGTGCAACAGCAGGATCCATGGGGACAGTTAGTGTGTGGCAGGCTGTTGCACTGTAGATTCACACCCCAGTTTGCTGTTTAGACAAGCCCTAACTCTGTATAGAGGTAGAAGTAGTTTCTTGTGATTATGATTCCTTACGTGCACTCCCACTTCTCACATACATACAGTCTCTCCCCAGAAATTTGTTTTACCTCATTACATTTGTCACCGTTGTGCAGGACTAGCTTCACTTCTGTCCTGTCTCTGGGTTTCTCTGAGTGTACCCACATAGGTGACAAGCCTCAAGTTTTCACCTCTGTCAGTGTAGAATCATACAGTTCTCCCACTCTTAGATAAGGACCTGGGTTACAGACCCTTGTGTGCCAGTTGTGATTACTTCAGCAGGCCCAACTTAGGTTCAGAACCTGCAGTTCTGCCCTTTGGGAACTGTGACCTATGGTATATACAGAGTATATATATCATACGGCCTTTTCAAAACAAGATATTGTTTGTTCTTAACAGTAGGAACACTACATACATCAAAGAGAACAAGGATTTTGAAGGAATCAATCTGTATGCAGGCATATCTACCTAGAACCCCCCTGATGTTAGCCAGGTAGGCTCAACTTCTAAGTTGAGACTGCTTCTGTAGACGCTCTCTGTGTCAGCCTGTTTCCCTGTATATCTCCTCACTATCGCCTCTCCCCCTCCTCTAAGTGACTTTTTAACTGTTTAGTGTTCTTTTAATCTTAGGTTCCCAGCCTTGGCAAGACAAGTTTTGTAATTTTGCTGGAGCCAAGACAGGTAGGCTCTTCCAACTTAATAGCCCAGTCATTGTTCTCTTAAAGACCTTGAAGTGTTTTCCCAGGTGGGGGTCTTATCTCTAGTCATTGTTTTATATCCTGCTTATTTTTCCTAACAGCGCCTCTTGAATAAATTCCTCAGACAGAAAATATCCTTTCTGGCTATTGGACGCTCATATGGCATACATAGCATTCCTAAGTTAATGCAGAGGAACCCCATGTCCTTCACAACATTTAAACAAAGGTTTTCAGTAATGTAAAAGCTAAACAGGCAGCAGTGCTTTGCCAAAATTTTAACTGTTTCTACAAAGTAGAAATATCCATATACATTTTTAAAACCATGTGAATATACAACTTTGCAGAGCTTGTGAAGATATACTACCTGTTGTGCAGCATGCGGTCTCTTATTTATCTCTGTTACTTTTGTCCCTGGGTGCAGTGTGAATTGATTTATCCCAGTGTGTACAAATATCTCAGCAAACAAGTTGAACCTATTGTTAGAAGTATGGAGTTTTAATTTCTATAAAGAACGCATCATTTTTTGTAAGTGGAAATTGTCTGTATGTAAGGTGAGGATGATCCTTTAGTTAGAGGCAGATTATTCTGGTCACTCACAGGGAATGATTTGATCAATAAATGTCTTCACAGTCTTGTATCCAACAACAGTTACTGACTACTCACCCCAGAATATGTGTCTTTATCTATCTGTTTTGCCTTGATTTATTAACACCTTCATATTTAGCTCTTTGTTTCCAGAGACATTCTTCTGTAATTTTATAGGAGACAAATCTTGTGGCCTTTTCCCCCGGTTCCATCACTAGGTCTAATATTGAAAGCACATTTTTCCTTTACCTTCTTCACCTGGTTGCTAAAATTTATGTGTAACTTATTGATCCTTTGGTTGACACCATCACCCTTTACTGTTGATGTACCTGCTAGTGCCAATGGGTTAAATAGTGCTATAAATGTTGTATACAGAAGCCATTATATATGCCCTAAATCTAATAATTGGCAAGTTTTTTTTAACCATCCTTGGGTGTTAAGAATATACATTTCCTCTTTGCAGATAGCAAAAGATTCCAGCTTTGTCAGGGATTTGGTGTATGTATTTCATTGCATTTTAAGCATCAGAATCAGACCACAGTTACAAGTGTGTGTATTCATACTAGAGTAGTGAAAAAGCAAACTGATTTATGTGCTGCCACCTCTGCTCCCTCTTCAGGAAGCTGTTTATGGGGATCCAAACAGTCTTGGTTCTCCTTCAGTTTCTCCTTCCTGGTACAACTAACAGAGGTGTTAGGCTTGAGTGTCCGTGCCTCTTCCTCTGCAAACCACACATGGCAACAGACGTGATATGCAGCCTTTTCACTGGAATTCTAGAGCTTGATAAGATGAAGCTATGGGATTTGGATAAATGTCATCCTTTTTACCATATTTCCCTCCACAAGTGACTACTATGGAATAACACTAAATGATGCATTATTTTAAGTAAATTTCATGTGTTTTTATATAGGGGCTTATTTTCAAAGCTAGCGTCTCGGTATGCACATATATGCACTTTTTGGCCACAAACACCCGTGTGCTCACTTTTTTCACCTCATCTCATGCATAATCAATAAGACTGTAGAGCACATTTGTGAGAACAATGATAGAATACAGAAATAGAGTATTATCCAAATGAGTTTTGTGTGTGTAAATTCTATCACATGCACACAAATGTCAATGTTCAAAGAGCACGTGCACAAAGAGACTCTACATTTTGAAAATTTGGCCTATAAATATTTTTTAAACTGTCCGCTTTCTAAGCTGGTGATGACTAGTGACCATTTTACCCTCACAGGTAAACGGACACTACCTAATAAAGTTGTGATCTATTTTACATAGTGTTTTCCCTTACAAAGGCTCTCTAGATGTTTTACAAACTGATACAAAAGCTTTAAACTTAGGTGTATTCCAGCTGCCACTAAAATACATCCACCTCTGTGGTGATATTGCAACTGTTTAACGAGAACACTAACAGATGAGGAGAGGGAATTAAAAATGTATTTTTCTATTAAACATCTGATGGAGAAATTTAGGTAGCTAGGATGTAGTTACCTGAGTTACAGAGTAGCAGCCGTGTTAGTCTGTATCCGCAAAAAGAAAAGGAGGACTTGTGGCACCTTAGAGACTAACAAATGTATTTGCGCATAAGCTTTCGTGAGCTACAGCTTATGCTCAAATAAATTTGTTAGTCTCTAAGGTGCCACAAGTCCTCCTTTTCTTTTTACCTGCGTTAGAGGTTAACATGGGCACCAGAGCTTCATACTGATCATTGCAAAAAGCACACTGGTATATTTCATGACCACTTGCAATCAGGACCTTGTGTTTACATCTGATCTCAAAGACAACAACTCCAACATACAGTATTGCCTGACTTCATAAAGGGGTATTATTTCTTTACTAACTCGGAGGGGAGTGTACTATCTATTGAATAACCAGTGTCACTTTATACAACATTCTTTGGAGGTCTCCCTGCCAGAGCAATAGCTGAACCTACAGAGAAAAGTTGGGTTTTACAGCTCAATCTATAGAAGCCAACAGATAAGAACTTGGTTTGCTTTTTGACTGGTAAAATAGTAACTTCTTAGGAAGTATTATACCATACACCTTTCTAAAAGACGCACTTTGTGTAATATTCTCTTCTTAGACCCACACAATAGAGCTTCAATTTGCTAATTTATTCTCCCTTAAGTGCATAGAACTGCAAGGACAGAATAGCTGATTTCAGAATGGGAAAAAGTTTAATTTTTTTAGTTGAAATAGCTTATAGTAGTGACAGTTATCTAGCAACCAGTATTTTTAAGTCATAAGTGGACTTTTCCCTTCCCACCTTGAAAATGTTCCCCTTAATCAATCAAATCCAGATTGTAATTGCTCATTGTAGTGTGTTCCACTTATATAAATAGATTATCTACATAATAACAAATTCAAGATTATCACTGAGGATTTAATTTATTTTAGACTGCAATGCAGTGGATTCTGGATGGCTGCCCAAAACAGCATTAATGGGCTCTTTACACTGAATAATGGGTAACCATTTGCCTACTATGGCATATATATAGCTATAAATTAAGTAATGAATGGTCAACACTTACGGTGAGTATTGCTTTTAATATAGCAAACGGGGCTATAATATAAAATCTGCAAGATCTTACTATTGCAGAACTTCTTTATTACTTTAAAACAGTGCACTGCAGGCCTTCTCAGTCTTGGGTTTTTACTCACACATCACATGCTGTATTGGAAGTAAAGTGCTGGATATGACCCATCTGTTTTTCCCTTTGCACCTTGAGAGCCTACCATACCCAAAAATGTACAGTTTCTCTGCCTACTTCCCATCTCCCTTTTCCCTACCCTTGTAAGGCATCCAGCATATAGGACTCCAAATGACTGGTAGGGAGCATGCTTATATAATTTATTAAAATAGTCTTTCCTACCTCTCCATATCTAATCAATCAATTAACAATTGAACACCATAGTCTATGCTTGAAACTGGGTCCCCAAAAGACCACTTCAGATGGTTACTGTATCATCACCCATCACTGTAGTATTCAAACATTTAGGTAAGGAAGATAATGCTGATTTGTCCCCTATAAAATTACAGAAGAATGTCTCTGGAAACTATATATATATATATATATATATATATATATATATGCGATGTAACTAAACTTCTGCAAAGTAGCTTTACAAATTGACTCCTAAAAATACAGAACACTCTTGCCTCTTGTCCAAGAGGGTAAATGTAATTATCTGGGAAAAATGTGTTTTGTAGTGACTAAAGACTGTTAGTCCTGTAGCATGTGGCTTTACTTGTGAATACTGTGAGCGGATGCCAACGCCATTGACTTCAGTGAACTCGTATTCTCTTATAGAAGCTATAAATTTGATGCATTGTTTCTATTTTTGGGGGGTGGGGTTAACAATAGTAAATTAAGGCTGCTGTTTGCTTTATGTGTAGCTTTGAATATACTTGTGTTCAGGGAAAAAATGAATTGAGAGAAAAAGTAGTATTAAGAAAGTCTGAGGGAAGAATTCTTAATGTTACGGGTAACTGTGTGCCTGGTTTAACACCAAAAAGTTACCTGCAGTAATAGTGAAATAGACTACTTGCAATATTATTCCACCTCTGAAATCTTCACTTCAGTTTTCATGACTATTACTCTTTCATTCCTGTATTTTACCTACAAACAAAAAGTATTTTAGTTTTGAACATCTTTATAATACACCATTGCAGAAACCATGTTTTTCAATGTGGAATTTTGTCCATAATATGTTAATTGATACTTCTCCTCATCCTTAGAATAGTGTTGTAGTTTATTAGTGACTACATAAATCATTTGTACAGAAATAGAAATATCGGCAATGAGTAAAGCTTATTGGGTCCATCAAGATTTCACTTTTTAGTACTGTATTCTCATTTTCTCCAGGATGGCATCTAATTTGTTTCTTGGATAACTCTGTTGCTTTTGACTCAGAAATCTTGCCTCATGGACTCTTCATCAGTGTGGAAAAATTGCTTCTTGATTCTTGTTCTGAATTTGTATTTCTTTATGTAGCACATAGGATTCCTTGCCCTGTTTATAGCTACAGATAGTAAACACTCATGTATGGTGAGCTAGGTTTTCACACATGGCTTCTAATTTTGTCTGTGCAGGTCTGCGTGTACGATCTGAGCATCTAGACAGCATTTGTACAGAAATTGGGGTACAGGGCTTGGAGCACCTTTAAAAAATTTGACCCCATATATTTTGTGCATGTTTTGTCTAATGGATTAAATTTTCTAAAGGCCAAGATTCCTTTATTTATTTGAAGGTGGAAAAAATTGTGCTTCCCAGGTTTGTGAGCACAAAAATGTGGGAGCAAATCTTGTGGCTTCTGTACACCTATCAAAGGGGAGAAGCCCAGCAGATAACCAGCTGTAAAACCTCTGGGTATTGCAGAAGGAGCTGGTAGCAA